TTTTAGTTATGCTTGTAAAGTTATGTCTGTTTACTTTTTTCAAGTTTCAAGTTTTACAAGTTTTTATTTCACTCAGCCACACTTTAGTGTGGTACAAGAGGTCACATTTATACAAATACAACACCTTATTCTGTATAACTTATGATATAACAGGATTTACAGCATAATTAATATTTTCAATATTGTTTCTAGAAATCTCCAAACTTTTTTAAGGAGAACAGTGTTGCATATTTGAAACATTCCTTTCATTTTCACGGTCGTCGGATAATTATAATAATACTTACGTATATATGTTTGCCTCAGTTCCATGATCTGACTGTTATTACAAATAAATAAATAATGGAATTCGTCGCCAACATCAATGTTACAGAGATGACATATTCTATTTTCCCTTGGGACACCTGTCCATCTTCCTGTTTCGATAGGGAGTTTCGAATTTGATGTTCTGGATTTAGACATTATTTCCCGATCTTTTTCCCCAAACCGTTTCAAATATTCTTCTAAGCCAAAATCTTTCTTAAAAATAGAATAGGTATTCCCTCTGGACGATATTGTGACGTCATGATTCCATTTTTGAATAAATTGATCCTGTAACTTAGATTTAAGTATATTTTTCAGTAGCGGCTTGCTTACAGTACATGTTTCTTGAAATATCCATACATAGTTCATTCCCGAGTAACCTAGTAATTCTTTAATATTTTGCAACCATTTACACTTAATGACGTAATTTTCGTGTAACTTGTACACGATTTTGTAAATTTTGCCTGAGAGCTTATCATGACAAGTGACTAGAGCATACCAAAACATTATCATTTTACAATTAATATCAATCTGGATAGGATATCTTCCTGTTTCTCCGTACACCATGTAATTGGCAGTGCTCCTTCTAAAATTTAGCAGTCTCTTACAAAACTGTAAATGATTCTTTTCAATTGAAGTGTTATTTTCAAATCCCCAAACATCTGCACCGTATATTAGAATTGGCAACACTTTTGAGTCAAACAATTTAAACTGGAGATCAATTGGTAAAGGAATATTTCTATTTTTTCTGCGTACTGCAAATAATGCTCTTTTGCTTTGATAAAACTGCCATTGTAGATAAAAATAAGTCCTAGGTACATAAAACTATCTTCTATATCAAGTTCTACTTTTTCGTTTATAAAATATCATAATTTGGGTTTTCTGAGTATTAACTGAGAGCTTCTAGTTTGAACAATATAACTCAAAAACATCAAGCGCAGACTGTAGCCCTTCTGGCGTGTCTGACATAAGGACGGTATCGTCTGCATATAATATAATAAATAACTTCAGATATGTTCCAATGGTATCAGCAAATTCACGTTGTTTTCTTGAAAAAAATCTTCTAAATCACTCAGGTACAAAGCAAACAAAAATGGTTACAAATTTTCACCCTGTTTTAAACCGACATTGCAGTTGAACATGACGGACATTTCAGAGCCATTTTTTACTCAGGATTTCGTATTTGAGTACAAACCATGAATTACATTGAATATTTTCCTTTTTATACCGCTCTTAAGTAGTTTTTCCATAGCCCGGCTCTCCAGACAGAGTCGAAGGCTTTGCGAAAATCTATGAACGCACAATACAGTTTTTCCCCAAGTGATAAGTATGATGTAGTTAAGAAATGAAGAATAAACATGTTATCTACTGTTGAGTATCCCTTCCTAAATCCCGCTTGTTATAATAACAAATTCATCAGACAATTTGTTCAGGCGGCTATTTAAAAATGATGTGAAAACTTGACCTAGGCAAGATACAAGAGTTATCGCCCTGTAGTTGTCAAGGTCATTTGGATCAAAGCTGTTTTTGAATATAGGCTTTATTATACTGTTGTCCAGGCATATGGTACTACGCCTGTATCGAGTATGATATTAAAGCTTTGCTGTTTGCGAGTTTTTTAATCGCACCAGTAATCTTATCGACGCTAATATCGCCATTTAATATATCGTCACATTCACATAGGTTATTCTCTATTTCGAGATCATCATCATGTTCATCTATAAGTACTCATAAGATTTTTCAATGTCGATTTCATTACATTGTCTTTTTTTGTTATCACATATGTTATTGAGGATATTACAGAAAGCTTTAGTATCAGTCTTAAAAGGGTTTAAAGGGTTGCCGATAACTGCCGCAATTTGAGTATCGGAGGTAGTTATCGACAGTATGTGAAATAAATACCAATTAATTTTTGTTTTATCCATCAAAAACATATTTTTTATGAATGACTTGTACTTCAAAGTTGCCTGTATGATTTCCATATACATATATCGTGGATTGTGTAAGGTGAGAGCAATCGTGTTGCTAAAGTCTATCCAGTAAACAGACATAACTTTACAAGCATATATATATAGTTAGCTGCGGGAACCGTAGCTTCTATGTCCGTTTTTTTAAATAATTATTATTGTTATCGGACCATAGATCCGATAACAATAATATTTTATTTTTTTTTTTTAAATTGGACATAGAAGCTACGGTTCACGCAGCTAATATATAGTCTACAGTTGAGGCTGGTCTATAAATACATCCTAGCAAGAAGTTATGACGTGCAACTGTTACTTCAACAATTTACAGGCGGTTGTCGACAATAAGCCTACCACAATCTGCTCTTAGAATTAAGGCTAAAGTAATGAAATATGGAACATTCTCCAATATCTTCACCTGTAATTCCGGAGTTAGGCATGGGTGAAAATCTTTCCCCATTTTATTTTTTATTGTATCTAAATGACCTTTAAATGTTTTTAGAATCTAATGACTGTACAGGCCTATCAAATTTGGTGGGAAAACTTGAGAATGAGCTACACAAGTTGTATTTAATGTTATATGCTGATGACACTATTTTGTTAGCAGATACCCCAGAAGATTTACAAAAACAACTCAATGTGTTTGATGATTATTCAAAATTGAAGCATCTTAAAGTAAATATCGATAAAACAAAAATGATGATATTTGGTAAAGGCCCCGAGAGGATCCCAAAATATACGTTTTACTTATAACAGAAATGAAGTAGAAATTGTGAAAAAAATCAAATATCTTGGTGTTAATTTTACTCAAAATGTAAACGTTCTAACGCGTTAAACGTAACTTCTAACGCTTTAGTTTTTAACGCGTAACTATATATCGTGTTTGGCCCGAACCGCCACCCATAGATGCATCCGAAAAGGATCGCATTGCCATAGTACACCTACAATGTACATATTTAATTTGAGTGAATTGAACAATTTCTAAATTGCGACCAATCAGAAGCCACTGTGTGGTTGTTATGGCAACAAAACGTTCGTGATTGAATTTGCAGTGCCCTAATACCCTATATACCAATTTTCATCGAAATAAAACAATATCTAAATTTCGACCAATCCGAAGCCTCCGTGTGGTTGCTATGGTAACGAAACTTATGTGGTTTCATTTGCAGTCCCATTATACCCCTACATGTATATACCAATATTCATCAAAATCGAACAATATCTAAATTTCCACAAATTAGAAGCCTTTGTGTGGTTGCTATATGGTTGCTATGGCAACGAAACATATGCGGTTGAATATTCGCAGTCCCCTAATATCCCTATATACAAATTATCATCAAAATCGAATAATATTTAGATTTCCACCAATCACAGGCCGCTGTCCGGCTGACCAGTCGGATGACCGATCGAAAAATAAAAATAAGTTTGCCTGTCATACACGAACACTCATGTGAAGTTTCGTTGAATTTTGCCCTACGGTTTTCGAGAAACATGTCGGAAACCTCGTCGGCGGAAGAAAGTGGAAGAAATAGGAATAATAATAAGAAAATATTAATAATAAGAAACGGAGCAAAAACAATATGTCCCCACACTTTGTTTGGGGGACCTAATTAAAGCTTAAGAGTTGTCCCCCTTTAAAATGTTTGATTGCTTTCTGGTGAGCTCATTATAAGTGTTATTAGTGTTTTCTTTAAATTAACAAAACAATGTATATATATATATATATGCACATTACCTGAATAACTTCAACAATTTACAGGCGTTGGTCGACAATAAGCCTATCACAATCTGCTCATTCATAATTGTACAGTACTTATACATATATATATATATTACTGTAAATTAAATAACTAGAGCATTTATAAGTTATACCTTTATCAAGAAAGCTACAAATGAAAACTGAAAATTATATTTAGGAAAATAAAAAATAAACATTTTCGAAAAGTGTCTTTTTATTCCTGGCAATAATTTGAAATAGTTGTACGTAAGTTCAGATTGTCGGATAATAATCAGGAAAAAGTACAAAGGGACTTAATAATTGTCAACAGATGTTTTTTTAGGGGACGATCAACAATTTATTTCCTGTGGTTCAGATATAAGCCTAATTTACTGCTGAGAAAGGGCTATTGGAATAAATATTAAATAATTTCATTGAAAAAAAGTCTCCATTGGACATTTTGTAGATGATAAAACATTTTATCTATAAAACAAAATATTAAATGAGTGTATATTGTTTAAATAAATAATTTTCTTGAATGTTTATTTTTGTTTTTGTCTACACGTATGCAAAGTTCTTTGAAGAACAATCACGAACTTAGATAATTAATTCCGTAATGTAATTAATCATAAGCAAACTAGCATAATGAATCGACATGGAACCGTTTTTATCTAAGTCTATGAACATTGTACACGATGTGAAAAAAAATCTTGGAATTGTCCACTTACATGTTACATATGGGTAAGTCGGAATTAGTGCAAAATTACATTCGATTTTTTTTCACCCGTAAATAATAAGTAATCATATTTTACACTGAATCTAACAGCAGTATTAATATTTATATGGTATCAGAAAAGGTACGCTAATTCTGTTGAAAGAATGGACATGTTTGACAGCATAACGAAAAAGTTTGACAATGCTTTCCCACGAAAAGATTAACTCGTCCAACTGATGACGTCACAGCACGTGCCGGATGACAGGTGCGTACTTTTTATTGAATGGAAAGCTCATGTTTCGTTCTCAGGGTATGGCGGAAGTTGCATTTTTTATCTAAACATAACTCACCCGACTGTGGTATCCGGGGCCAATGAACATCGTTCGGGTGTGAGCGGAACCCACGTGCCCTAGCCGAGCTGGATATATATTTTGTCGTGTGCAGTTGAGGGTACTAATAAGCTGTCAGCTGTCGGGACGGAGACATCGATATCAGCACGAACGGCCTGGAGTATTTTCAACAAAAGTGTGCAGTAATCTTTGATAGCTTCTCCATAAACTATGGCTGCTACAGTGAGTACAGACAGCTATGATACTTTAGAAATGCTATTTATCGTTTAATAAAGGCCTAACATTGACTTTTAAACACTGTATCAACTCAACATTTCTGAAATTCCGTCTTGTCCAAGACAGGGGATCATTTCAGTGATCGAGATAGTATTGTTATATAACCCAATCCCCGTTTACGAGCAGCGTGCACCGTGGGAAATTATTACAATTATTTCAAAGTATGACAAATTTTAAGTTATACTGAGCGCCTTCATAACTTTCTGTGGAGGGAAACAAAAGACAGACCCAATCAGTTACTAATCCCAGCAATGATTTCAGATACATGTCTCTCTTTTCAATACAAAAAAAAAGATTGATTTAACATTTCTTTTTAACAAAACAGCTTATTGGCCACAAATTCTTTGTTCACATATAATGATATATGTATTTTTTTTATTTGTAAGGAATCCCTTCGCTCCTGAAAACACTTGCTTAAATTCTGATGAACAGGTTGAGCACAGCGGCACATATGGGTAATACATCCTGCATTTTAAAATAAACACGCAAAGTCTAGTTCTTTTAAACACTTTGAGCAGACAAGGGCGTTATTCTTTCAACTAAATCCAAAAAAACCCACATAGTACAATGAAGTACATTTGTGCACAAAAGTTAATCAATTATGATGTCTTAACTTTTTGTAAAAAGGACAAAGCATATCACTGACTTTTTTCTCCATTGACTTCAATGTGTAGGCAATGGGACCATGACAGGTAAGCATGCTTTTTCTGTGTGCTATTTATAGCTACTCTACATCACACTATAAGCAATGGAGGTAATACAGTTTGTCATTTTCACAAAGATTTTGATTATAACTGAATTAACATATTGTGCACAATTGTACCTCATTATATTTTTAATTGATTATGCTGAAAGTATGACACCCTTTTTTGTTTATAATGTGTAAAAGAACTTTGTGTGTTTTTATTTCATTTTATTCCCCATTTCAGTAATAAGGTTGTTACTCAAATGGCTAACTGTTACCCAAATGCAGGATTTATACCCATGTGTGACGTTGTGCCCAACCAGATGATTTCTGATGTCTGTCTTTTCAATACGAAAAGGAATTTATTCTAAAAAAAAATTCCAATGCAGTTTATTGGCCAAACATTCTTTGTTCACAATATATATGTCCTTTTTATTTGTAAGGAATCCCTTTGCATATGAAACACATGTTTAAATTCCTATACAATTATGGAAGTTCCCATTTAAAGAAAACAATCAAAAACAGCCAACTCCCAATTAAGAATGAGGGCTGTATGATGTCGCCCAGCCTGCCAAAGAAAAGTATCTAAGTTAAATATAACATCTCTGAAATTTTGTAGGCCTACTTCTTGCAAAAAAGTTGATGTGATTTTACCATGTTTTCACTCAATAAACCCTGAAATTTCATAATGAACTAATCCAACCTTTGATTTGGAACAGTTCAAATGTGTCTTCAGGGATGAATGAGTTCAACTAATTGGGTAGACTATAATAGCTAGAGGTAAATGATTTTTTTGAAATTTTGTCCGAAGTTTACATCTAAATATTTACATCCATTTAGTGCTTTTTGAAGGCACGGTCTACAACAGTTTTGGAAATGTCTTGTTATCTTTATAGGTTTGTGCTCGTTTTGGTGAATATCCCTGTTAAATTAAGTTTGTTTGTTGAATATACCAACACTGCATGACTAAACACAGATGAGTTTGCCTACGATGTTCAGGAATATTTCAGCAACGAAAAAACTGCAAAATAAAAAAGTATGAAAATGTGGCAAAGTTTTTCTTGCAATTTTCACTCAGAAATTCTACTGAGAAATGGTGACACAATCCTATTACCTTAGGTTAAATCCCAACTGACCAACCCAATGTTTTTTCAGCCATGTTACCTCAACTCATTCACCCCTGAAGACACATTTGAACTCTTTCAGTTCAAAAATTGAAATAGTTTATTATGAAATTTCAGAGGTGGATGAAACAAACCTATTTTTTTGGTCTAAGGTAATCCGAAATGATGGTTCATCTCTCTGTAGGATATACTGCAGTGATTTATTTTGCTCAGTTTTACTGCCATATACAGGCTGTTTCCCCTAGCTAAATTTGATTTTTTCCCAATTTTCATGTTTTACTCCCTATTTAATTTGAAATATTTACGAGGCTTGAGATCAAAACATGCACTGTCCTTATCATTTCCCAAAAAAAATGTATGGAAAATATCAACAAAGGGGCGACCTGGATGAGGTCAAAGGTCAATCTCATTACACATCGGACAGGAAAGTCAGTGATGCCTGATGGTTTGGAAGTTTAATTGTAACCTTACCATGACTTTCTGTAACGAGCAATCGTCTTAAATGAATTTTATGTTGAAGTGATTATATATATATATATATCACTTTCAATGTTTAAAGGGCCAAGATTTGAATTACAACTTTTTGATTCATTAATCACCAGTAATTGAACAGTTATTGACTGGTAGTTATTATATATGCTTTTATTTAAAATTATTTTATTGGTTGAAATTTAATAAAAAAAATATGGGGACCTGATACTCTCTTTAAATGGCCTTATGACCGAACACCATATCATTAACCCTTTCACCACTGTAGACCATAATGGACTAATCCACATTAATGTATGGTAGAGTCCACTAAAGTTGCCTAGGAGTGATCGCCTCTGGTGTACTGGATGACTCATGAAATTTGGGAGAGATCACCTTGACCTGAATGATGACACAGACTGGGGACCTGTCCATCTGGGCCAGGGAGGAGAAACCCCCTCCTATCTCAGCCAGGAAACCCCCTCCTATCTCGGCCAGGAAACCCCCTCCCAATTTCATGGAGGGAACCCTACTCTCCCCTTCCCCTCTCCCTCTGGGAGCTCGCCATCCTTCCTTAACTCATTTACCCCTGAAATTTCATAATGAACTATTCCAACATTTAAAATGGAAGAGTTCAAATGTATCTTTAGGGGTGAATGAGTTAAGGTCTCTATGCCTATCACATTCACAATCAACTCTAACGGCAGGTTTGTCATACACTGATACAGCCATACTTTTAATTGGAAGAATTTACTGACTGATTTTCAAAGCAACACTCAACTGGATCCTTCTCTCCTCCCACCACCCATCCCACGGTCACCAGGATTCTCACTGATGTGGTAATCTAATCTGACTAATCGTTAGTGCCTTTCCCCCCCATCTTTTCACACATTGTAATTATATCTATAGAATCCCACTGCAACATTTCAGTCACCAAAATTCTCTTGTTTTTATACACCCGTCAAATTTGACGGAAACTCTTTGAAACTTAGTAGGCTAAATAATCATGACATGTTGTTTCCTTGAAAATAATTTTGATTCAACAATTTTGCAAAAGTTATTGCCCTTTGTTCATTTCAGTATTTGATTTTTTGTCCGGAGATCTCCTACATTTTTTCACGGATTTCTTTGAAACTTAGTAGGCTAAATAATCATGACATGTTGTTGTTTCCTTGAAGATAAATTTGATTCAACAATTTTGCAAAAGTTATTGCCCTTTGTTTATTTCAGTATTTGATTTTTTGTCCGGAGATTTTCTCCTACATTTTTTATAGCATGTCGGCTAACCACTCTTAAAATGATGCAGATCTTATTTCAATGTAAGAAAGTATATAACGCTATATGGCATTCGGCGGGCATATATTGTTCCGCCCCACGATACTCGTGTTGAAATTTAGCCCAGGATTTCTAATAGGAATTTTTATATAGAAAATGGATTGTCTTTCATGTCCTGATTAAAATACACAATTATTAAATTGAAAGGGCTGTCCATCTCATCCTTGACCAATATCTGATCTTTCTCATTGTTTTATATAAAGGACATAAAAGTGATGCCATAACATTTTCATTCTGTTATTTTTTACATGATTTACTGTGTGGTTTGGTTTTACTGATAAGTAATTGTTAGGCTTGTAACTATAGTTTAACTGAAATGAAGCCAAAACAATTACTTGTGTTTTCGCTATCGTCCAAAGAAAAGATACGGTGGCCTTGGTAGGAAGGCATTTTTAGATGGTGGGGTATTCAAATCACCCTGCGTCCATGGTCCGTCGTCCGTCGTCCGTCCGTAAACAATTCTTGTTATCGGTATTTCTCAAGAAGTACCAAAGGGGTCTTTCTCAAATTTAATATGTAGGTTCCCCTTGGTCCTTAGCTGTGCAGGGCAACTTTTGAGACTGATCGGATAAACAACATGGCCAACAGGCAGCCATCTTGGATTTTGATAGTGAAAGTTTGTTATCGCTATTTCTC